GCGGCCATACTCGAGCGCGTAGCTAAAGACAAGCGATGGACACAGCTGAGGCACGAAGCGGAAGCCGACGCGATCGAGCCACGGCGCCATGACCGCATGCACGGACCCGAGGTCGCCGTCCGGCGGGTCGTGGCCGAGGCGCGTGAGGATGCGAACGTCTTGGTTGACGCCCACTTGGTAGGCAGTGACGAGCGGCAGGAGCTGCGCGCTCATGAGGACGCCGGGGCAGGCCATGGTCTCGGGCTGGCGTCGTTTAGCTCAACCTGATTTGAAATCTGAAACTAGCACGTGGCGTGTTTTAAACGTGTTTCAAACACATAGTACGGGAGAATGAGGTGGCAGCCGGAGGCGGCGTGATTCGCGGGGTGGAGCGATGCCATTGGCTGCAATACAACGAATGACATGCCGTTGAATGTGGAATCGGCTTTGGATTGGCTTATAATCGCGCCACAGCCCCAATCCGAGTCGAGCGTCACAAGATCCCAACAGGAACGGTGCAGCGTCGTGGCGCGTCAAGGCTGCGCTGACCAACGGCCCTGAATGCTACCGAGTCGACGCAGATACTGGTACGCGAGTTCGAGTTGTCGGTCCCACGTGGCAGCATGGCGTCCCACTCGTGGAGAAGTAGATGGATGGAAAGGGATTTAGAGATACATGGATAGATAGACGCGACGCACCTACAGTGTAGTACGCTATCTACGCGAGCGTGTCCGTCGGGTAGGCTAACCTTTTTACGTTACGTATATTGTGCGGTAGAGTGTGTCGCTCACACACTCTACCGCACAATATACGTAACGTTGTATAACATCTCGGACCACATTGCTGCGAGTGACGACAGAGGATCGGCCCAGAAAAGCCTGAGACCTGATGTGCATTCTTTTCGAGTCGGAGTGCGCTGTAGTATTTCAACAACTCGCACATACTGGACAGGATCAGCAAATCGACGCTCATGTCGTCAGTCGTGCCCACAAAAGACGCGCCAAAAGGCGATGTTGATGTCAGTGCTGCGGTTTGACGCATCGCGAGTAACGTTAAAGGTCAGTTTAGCAGAATTAGCCGGTGCGACGACATGCATAGCAGTTGATGACCGTCCTCGATATTCGTGTGAAGGTTACGGTTCCCATATATTGCGGTCATGTTACCCCCGAGAGGGGGCAAAAACGGGTGGCGGAAATCGAGAGTGCACCAACGTGGCCAATGCAGCCTACAACCGCCATGTACAACTTGTAGGCATCGACAGCTCGTTTCTAGAAAGGCTACCTGTCGCGTTCTAGCGTCGACGTGATGAAAATACGTGCACAGTTGTGATATCGTAGATCTGTGTCGTGCTAGGGTTAGGGCTGGAATTCTTAAATCGTGGTAAATGTATGGCATTCTACATTGTATATACTAGTAGGTTAGCTACATGCAGCGTCCATGCCATGGCGACGAGGTGCAAGGGGGCGACGCAAACGTGCAATAACTATTGTGCTTGAGCTTGTGCTCACGCACGAGGGCGAGGAGTATTTTCTTGTCCTTGGATTGTTGGTCGGAAGCACGCATGCGCGGAACAATCCAAGTGTGGCCAAAATATAGTGTGACGTCGCGGCAAACACCCAGCGTCGTCAGCAACACGGGCGCCGATGCTATCGTGAATCCATTTCTGCGCATGACAATACGAAGCGGCCGTCGGTTGCGACCAGAGGCGAGGGCGACCGCAAGGATGACAGCGTCGTTGTCCGTGAGCCTCGTCGCATTAAGCCCTAGCGTCTCGAGCCCAGAAGCCATCCAGAGAGGTAGTGCCCGTCCAAGCTCCAAGACACCTTCTCTGCCGAGCACCGTGTTGTTGAAGTCGACCGATGTGAGGTAGTGCGAGGTCGAGAGCCAGCGCATCGTCTTGGGCACGCTCTCCACTTCATCAAACTGAACGTGATACAGCATAATGCGCGCAAGGCATGGGCAAGCACCAGTGGTGGTAATCGCGGGAAGCGCCCAGTTGTAAAGGCTCACCGATTCGAGTGAGGGACATGCAGCAAGAACACTGCCAACATCACCCAAACGGAGCACCCGGACGTGCTTGTTGTGGAGGGAAATCGTTTTGGCCCGATCCAGCTTCCCGAGCAAGACACCCGCGTCAACGCCGTACAGAGTCGACGATTGGCTCAAAAAGAGGGTCGTGACGTGGTTCAAATTGCCTGTTGCGGTCGCCAACGCTGCTTGAACGTCTGCGGCGCCGTCCAGACGCAAAAAAAAACAGCGTCGAGCAATCGTGGATCGCTCTTGCAAGTACCGTTGGGTCACTCACAGAGGTGCACGTGAGGTCGAGGGACATTGCACTGGGTCCTTGCAGCCACGCGATGATGGCGGCGACATCCAGTGCGCCCGCTGCCTTCATAGTCATCTCGAGCAAGTGTCGGGTAGGAAGTACTGCCAAGTACGCGGCTGCAGTGACGCGCTTCAAGACCGTGATCGTCACTTTCTGGACGTTGACGCAGCGCGCGAGGATGTCGGGAGTGGGATCCGGTTGAACCTCGTGGCTATTGATAAGGACGTTCGTGACGAGACCACCCCACGCATAGGCAAAGGCGCTCAGCATGCCGAGGACGGACGGGTCCACGACGAGCGTCACGGGCTTCATGGGCGGCAGTTTGGCATCCAGCCACGCAAGGGCCGCAAAACCAACGTCCACATGGACACCGGCGAATGCAGGCAGCGCAGCAATGGCGAGGTGAGCATGCTCGATCGGAATCTCGGCGACACGCACGACGGGCCAGTGATGAGCAAGATCGACGACGGCACCGAGGTCTCGGAGCGCAACGAGCTCGGGAGGCAGCGTCGACACCGGCAGCGCAGTGAGCAAGGCGGCAACGTCCTTCCCAATCGCGGTCGTCTCCAGAATGGCGTAGATCGCGGTACTTGGTAGGCACGTCAATGTTGCGGCTTGGCGCGCACAGAGCCCTTCATCCTTGGTGTCTCCTGCCATCGATGGTTGGCAGGTGATGATCGTGTCAAGAGGGCGACTGCGAGAGTTAGAACCGCTTTCTGCTGTAACCAAGCTCTTTCCGTTGGCCAGGAGATGGTATGTGACAACAAGAAATCTCTTCCTGGAAAAGGCTTGATATGTATCCGCTTCGCGTCGGAGTGCGCTGTAGTACTTGGCCTACGCGTATAGGTATACTTAAAGTGTAGCAGCAGGATCCTCTCGGTGTCGAGACGGTTGAAGCAAGGGATACGTAGTTGACGTCTTTATAAAGCGACGTAAAAAGAGAAGCTCGAAAGAGAAGAAATAGAGACGGTGCAAACGCTGCAGTCAATCGTCCAAGCGATCACTAACGTGACCGTCTTCTCCACTACATAGTGGCTTCTTTGTAGAGAGGCTAGTTGTGGCGCTAAAGCGACGACCGGGCTTGCCTGCGTGGCACATATATATTGCCCGCGTGGCGTGTGCCATACTAAGTTTGAGGTTATGACTGCAATTGTTGAACGACAACGCAGCGATCGATTACATGAATTAGTGTGCATGCCACGGCGACGAGGTGCGAGGTGGCGACGTATACGTGCCTTTCACAGGTTGTTCGAGCTTGTGCTCCTGCACGAGGTCTAAGGCTGTAGGCGAAACAAACGAAGTTGAGCCGAAAACCAGCGCGACGTCGCGGCAGGCCCCCAGCGTTGTCAGTAGCACCGACACCGCTTCTATCGCGAAATCATTTCTGGACATGTCAATCGTCAGTCGCCATCGGTTGCGACCCGCGGCGAGGGCGACAACAAAGACGGTCATGTCAACGTTTCCGAGCCCCGTCGCAGCAAGCTGCAGCTCCTTGAGTCCAGAAGCCATCCAGAGAGGTAGCGCCCGTGCCAGCTCCAAGATGTCCTTCGTCCCAAGGCGCGTGTAACTAAAGTCCACCGACGCGAGGCAGCGCGACGTCGAGAGCCAGCGCATCATCTTGGACATGCTCTCCACGCCATCAAATTGAACTTGGCGCAGCGTGAAGCTAGCAAGGCATGGACAAGCACCACCAGTTGTCGACACCGCTGGAAGTCTCCAGTTGACAAGCTGCACGGATTCGAGCGAGGGGCACGTCATAAAGACGCTGGCGACATCGTGCAAGCGAACCGCTTGAGCATTGTTGTTTTCGAGTGCAAACGAGACGACCTTGGTTCGATCGAGCTTTCCAAGGAGGACATGCGTGGGCACGTCATACAGACCTGACGATTGGCGCAACGAGAGCGCGGTAATGTGGTGCAAGGTCGATGGCAATGTCACCAACGCCGCCTGGACGTCCAAAACACCGTCCAGCGTCAACAAAGAGAGTGTTGAACTCGCTTGGATCGCGCTCGCCAGCGCCGTCGGGTCACTCACAGAGGTGCAGGCGAGAGAGAACGACGTAGCACTGGGTCCCTGAAGCCAGAAAGCAATGGCGGCGACGTCCAATGCGTCCAGCTGTGCCTTGGCGGCACTCACCTCGAGCACAGACAAGTGATGCATCGGAAGGACCGCCAAGTACGCAGCTGCGGCGACTTGAGTCTTGGTGCTCTCGATCGCAGCATGCGAGACGGTGACGCAGCGTCCGAGGATGTCGGGGATCGGGTCTGGGTGCACCTCATGATCCTTGATAATGACATGGGTAATGCGATCGCCCCATTTGTACGCAAAGGCGCTGAGCACGCCCGAGACAGTCGGGTCCACGACGAGCGCCACGGGTATTGTTGGCGGCAAGGTGGCATCCAGCCACGCAAGCGCGGCAAAACCAGGTTCAATGTAAAGGCCTTGTAGCGCAGGTAGCGCTGCCACACCAAGGTGCGCATGCTCGATGGGAATCTCGGTCACGCGCACGACCGGCCAGTGGTGAGCGAGGTCGACAACGGCACCGAGGTCTCGGAGTGCAACCAGCTCAGGTGGTAGCGTCAACGGCGGCAGTGCGCTGAGCAAGGCGGCAACATCCTCTCCGTGCTCGGTCGCTCGAAGAATGACGTGGAGAACGGCACTTGGCAGGCTTGACAAGCCAGTGTTCTGGCGCCGTTGTGTCTCTTTGTCGCTGGACATCGAGGGTTGGCAATTGGTGGCGCTGTCAAGATTGATACTGCCAACGTTGAAATTGCTTTGGGCTACAAACAAGCTCCGCCCGTTGACCAAGAGAGGGTTTGGGACCACGAAATTTCTTGCTCGAAAATTTGAAGTCGAATTCTTTTTTCGCGTCGGAGCTCACATTAGCACTCCAACAACAACAAAAAACTCAAAGACTATTCTATCAGAACGATTAACGAATTCTTTCGAAAACTCAAAACCATCGTCTCTACCGCGACGATACATCGAGCATGGCGCGCGGCTGGCAGTACGGATGCTGCTGTACCGTGGCCATGGATGGACGCAGCGCCGGGTCCGCGACCAAGAGCAGCGCCAGCATCTCGACAGCGTCGCTTGGCAATGACAGTCCCCACGCGTGGACCAGTTTCCGGATACCAACGCGCTGGAGGAAGCCAAACACTTCGTCTACCTCGGACGACGATTCGACGAGCGGGACGCCGGTGAGCAGCATCCAGAGCACGATGCCGAGGGACCAGACGTCGACGGTCGCCGCGCTGTAGTCGCCACTGGTGTGCATCTCGGGCGCCATGTAGTAGCTCTTCCCGACTGCATGTGTAGCCGTTGCTGCAAGTGGCATCGCGAGGCCAAAGTCGCCGATCTTGAGTTTGCCGTTGGCTCTTAACGGAACGATCTCAGATCGCAGTCCCGATTTGGTTTGAACAGTGGCAATTGCCCTCTTCTCACGTCCACGACTTCTCGACCGCCGATGGCCGGAGGCAGGACGGCAAACGAGGTTGGCGCGCGTGAGGCCACGCGCTCGTCAAGTGTACCAAGTGCCGTGTTGCACACCATACTTCAAGCGATCAGCCAAGTTACGGACGTGGCTGCCTTTCTCAACGCGCTACCAGTGTCGACGCTACCAGTCGAGCTCATCGCGCTGCGAGACCTCGGTGCCGCCGTCAGCCTCGCTGACCACTGGCCGGGCGTGTACGGGACCAAGATCCCGGTCCACTACGCTCGCCTCGGTATTGCTGCGCTGCCTGAGTTCTCGGGCGTCTACATTGACGCTGGCTTTACGCCTCTCGATTGGCTCGACGTGACGTTGCCGCCAATGATGCCGGTGACGCTGGTCGTGGACCCTTCCGTGTCGAGTGTCCCCGGCGCCTTTGCCTACAACTGGGGCGACCGAATTTCCCACATCATCACAAAGAACCGCCGAGTCGATCCGATCTGTGACCTTCTCGGTCGCTGCGTCAACGTCCAATCGGTGTCGATTTGGCGACACTTACGACGACGGTCGCAGTGCTTTTGATGTACTCGATGCCACCGCCATCGTCGCATGGCTTGACAGCCATCGCGCAACATTCTTATCGCTCTTGTGCACCCGCGTGCGCGACCCGACGGCGCTGGCTACTGCGATCCAAGTCTGCTCGACGCTGGCGACCTTGCGTCTGGACTGCGTTGAAGACATATACGCAGCGCTGGCGTCGTTGCCATCGACCTTGCATCACATCACGTCGCTCTCATTGAGCCAATCGTCGGATCAGTATGACATTCCCATACTTGGCCTTTTTGAGAAGCTCGACCCAACCAAGCTGCTGTCCTTGTCCATTCGAAACAACTATTACCAAGCTCTTCGGTTGCGCGACGTCGTCTGCATCCTTGGCGTGTGTCCCTCGCTCGAGTCGGTGTGCCTTGAAAACTGGACGCTTCCCGCGGCTTCTACGGCGGGCGCTTGCCCGCGCCTCGGTAGCGCCACGCTGTGCTATCTTCCGTTGGATGCCGTGAGGGACGTGACGACGATCATGGAGTGGCTCTCGACCTCGCACCGCCTCCGCACAGTGGTCTTGACGGGCACGGTGCTCGGCCACAACGGCGTTGCGGCGCGAGCGCTGCCTGCATGGATGGCACGCGGCCTCGAGACGTTGGGGCTCGATGAAACGGAACTGGGCGACGATGACGCTAGCGTTCTTGCAACTGCGCTCGCCTCGGGCAAGAACCGGCGGTCGCTGACGATCGATGTGTCGTCGAATCTACTGACGATGGCGTCGGCGGCCGTGCTACTGACAGCGCTGGGGGCGTGCTGTGACGTGGCGCTGCGTTTGAGTAATCCTTTTCTGATGTTGCACTACTTGCCCGCTCAAGGCCGACATGTGGATGAGGTAGAGACTCTTCAACGCCTCGTGAGCGGTTTCAAGCTCCAATACACGAGTGTCCACACAGTTGCGAGGGCAAGAACACCAAGAAAGCACTTGTGGTCGAGAAGCCAAAAGAAGAAGTGAGCTGACCAGGCTCGGTGTTTATTAGCGGAGCTGAGGAGCCGAGATTGGTGGCTCGCATCGACTTGGGGGCTCGGCTGGATGGCGCAAGACTGTCGTAGGACGACAGGGTTGCACTTGGGTGGCGCGAGGCTTGTCGAAGGGCGACAGGCCTGCGACTGTCTGAAAGGGACAGGAAACGGCTAACCGGCTGGGTTAGCCGGCTGAGCTAACCGGTTTAGCTAACCGGTTGGCTGTGGGTGTGCGAGTCGGCTCTCGCTGGTCTAGAGTGTGTGTGGGGAAAACGTCATCACCAAGGGCTACTCCCTTGAGGTGACGCGTGCAAAACCCACACGCCGAGTGACAAAGAGTGGGGCAGTGAGGGGCCATGATAGGTGGCGAAACCTACCAAGAAGCTCCCTTCTTGACTCACACGGTCGAAGGTGTGGTCGGCGCCTTCACGTCGCCATCCCGTTTGTCCATCCAATGCGATCAATTCGACGGTTTTTGTTTAGATTACTTCAACGAGTAGAACTAGGATGCACAGGATCTCCTTACACATAGTGGCACGTGAACTGGTGTGCCCCAGCCACCTATGTCTCGTCCAGTAGCTGCAACTATCGATGTAAATTTGATTCGTGGAGACGTCTTGAAGCTGGAAACGGCATTTGACGTCGCTCGAGCTTTCGTGGAAAGAACGCAAATTTGATGCTTCGAGTAAGAAGTTTCTTAGTGGTCAAAGCCCCTCTTTTGAGTGGTCAAAACCCCTCTTTTGGCCAACGGGACGATCTCAGTGCTCAGGTCTAATACCGTTTCTATCGTTGGCAGTCGCAATCTTGGCACCACCACCACCGATGGCAGGAGACAATGCAGCAAAGCGGGTCGGTCAGACCACAAACTTGCCGAGCCTGGGACGGGCCGTGCTCTACGCCATTCTTCGGGCGACCCGCCGCGGTATTGACGTTGCCGCCTTGCTCGACGCGTCGCCGGTGTCGATGCTGCCATCCGAACTCATTGCACTCCGCGACCTCGGTGCCGTCGTCGACCTCGCCGACCACTGGCCCGTCGTGCACGTGAGCAAAATTCCTATCCAGCATGCTCGCCTCGCGATTGCTGCGCTGCCGGCCTTTGCTGGCGTCTTCATTGACGCAGGTTTTACGACGCTGGCGTGGCTCGATGCGACGTTGCCACCCACGATGGCCGTGACGCTGGTGCTGGACCCGTCCGTACCTGGCACGTTTTCGACGTTTGCATACGCTTGGGGCAGTCGCATCACAGAGGTCATCGTCAAGGGCCATGACGTACAGCCCGACCCGATCCCCGAGATCCTCGCGCGCTGTGTCAACGTTCAGTCTGTGACGATCGAGAGTGCCGAGACGCGAGTCGCCGCTGCTGCCTACTTGGCGGCGATGCCAACGCAACACTTGCGTACACTCAAGGTCCGTGTGGTCGCGGATGACCCAGTCGACGCGTCTGCCATCGTCGCATGGTTGCAAGGGTCGGACGCGACGTCGTTCTCTCTCGCATGTCACTCGGTGCGTGAACCGATGGCGCTGGCATCTGCGATCGAAGCGTGCACTACATTGTCTTCGTTGACTCTGGACGGTGTCGCTATCGTTCAAGGAGCCTTGGCAACTGCTCCAAACAATTTGCACCACATCACGGCACTCGCTCTGAGCAACGATTACGGTGCGTACGACGCTTACATGAAAGTTCTGCTGCAAAAGATGGACCGGGCCTTGAGTTTTTCCCTTCGAAAGACTGGCGGCCGTGGAATGCTTTTGCGCGGCGTCATGGGCTACTTATGCACGCGTCCCTCGCTCGAGTCGGTGACGTTGGACAACTGGAGCCTTCGCGCGGTGCCCACGACTGGTGCTTGTCCACGCCTCACCAGCTTCACGCTGCGTCACGTTCAAGTCCATCGCACCATCCCCAAGATTGTGCAGTGGCTCTCGACCTCGCACCGTCCCTCGTCTCTCGACTTTAGTTCCACGATGCTCGGCAACGATGGCTTTGCGGCGCTTGCACGTGCGCTTCCTGTCTGGATGGCGCGCGGTCTCAAGACGCTCGGTCTGGGACGCACGGGGCTAACGGACGGTGACGCTGTCGTGCTTGCTTTCGCCCTCGGCTCGGGTCGCAACCGACGATCGCTGACGATCGACTTGCAAGCAAATGACTTCGCGATCGCGTCGGTGGCCGTGCTCCTGACGACACTGGGGACATGCCACGATGTCACGCTGCGTTTTGGCTCGGCCTCGGTTGCTTCGCACTTGCTGGCTCTGAACAAACCTTGCGATGAGAAAGACGTTCTCCGAGTCCTCGTGCGCGTGCACAAGCTCGAGTACATTGCGCCTGGCACGTTTACGACGCCCCCTCGCACCTCGTTGCCATGATATTATGCACTCTACTTCATTTGGACGTTGAACACGGCATTTTCCATTTGTAATTACTGTTGGATGCGCTTACCGTAATAGCCTAGCATATTGTCGTACAGTGAACTCTTGATGCGACCGAAGAGCTGATCTAGGGTGCAATGATAGCAGAAGGACGGCGTTGCCGAAACCTACGATGATCCTTGCGCGCCATCATTGTCTGAATACTGGCACTAGTTCCTGCGACAAAGCTTCGACTTGACGTTTGCAGATTTGAGAGCCCTTGGCGTTATGCTGTGTGTCCCGTAGCACATACATTTATCATTGACGATCTGCATGGTGCTCGAGGGCTTCTGGGTGCTGGTGATGCGGTCCTTCCTCGCTCCAGAGGACCGCGTCCATGGTTGGGCGACGCAGCGTCGGACACCCAACCGTCTCGACGATGCCAGCCATGTTGTGGGGAGCGCCATGAGGCTAACCAACGGCGTGCAATTGCGTTGAGATCGTGAACGGACGGATGTGCTTGACCTGCGACGTCGCCGACGTGAACCTTTTTGGGCATAAAGATGGACAGTACGTATGCGTCGCCTATTTAGAGCAGCATGTGCTTGTTTGCACGAGCGGCCTGATGCGTTATGGTCTATTGAGCTGTGGTGAGCGAGGATCGATGCATGTTCGTATGGCGATGCGCGGCCCATGATCACCCTCCATAGCGTCTCGTTGGATCGAAAATCACGCTCACAACAGCAGGTCGCTGACGGAAGGGGACCATTTCGACCAAAATGGAGGCTTTTCCGAGCAAGAAGTTTCCAAGTGGTCAAAAACCCTCTCAGTGTCAACGGAACGCGCAGACGACGCGAGCCCAAAGCGGTTCCAGCGATCACAGTCGCAATCTTGACGCCACCACCACGTGCCGACCACCCATGGAAGGGGACAAGGAGGCAAAGCGAGTCTGTGCACGCGAGGCCACAAGCTGGATGAGCCTACCAAGTACTGTGCTGCACGCCATTTTGAAGGCGACCATGCACGGGGCAGACGTTGCCGCCTTGCTCAACGCGCTACCGGCGTCGACGCTACCCGTCGAGCTCATCGCGCTCCGCGACCTTGGCGCTGTCGTAAACCTCGCTTGCCACTGGCCGGTCGTGCACATCACCAAGATTCCGATCCAGTACGCGCGCCTCGGTATCACCGCGCTGCCAGCTTTCGCCGGTGTCTACATTGACGCAGGCTTTACGACCCTCGTTTGGCTGGATGCGACGCTACCGCCAACGATGCCGGTGACGCTTGTCGTGGACCCCTCGGTGACTGGATTGCTTGGTGCCTTTGCGTACAACTGGGGCGACCGCATCACAAATGTCATCGTCAAGAGCCACGAGGTACAGCCCGACCCGATCCCCGACATTTTGTCGCGCTGCGTCAACGTCCAGTCTGTGACGATTACGAGCACGATCCAGAACACGATTACGCCAGTCGCCGCAGCGAGCTACTTGTCGGTGCTTCGGACAACACAGCTGGTCGCGCTCAACGTGACGGTCGCGGCTCCAGATGCACTGGACGTCATGACCGTCGTTGCATGGCTCCAAGGACCCAGTGCAGCGTCGCTTTCGCTTCCGTGTGTCTCTGTGAGTGACCCGACGGCGCTGGCGAGCGCGATCCAAGCCTGCTCGACGCTGGCGACCTTGCGTCTGGACTGTGCCGTGGACGTGCAGACAGCGCTGGTGTCGTCGCCAACGACCTTGCACCACATCACGGCGCTATCATTGAGCCATTCCTCGGAGCTGTTCGATGTTGACACGGGAGGTTTACTGCGAAAGCTGGACCAGGCCAAGATTTTTTCCTCCAAAACAACTCCGTTCAGTTGATGCGTTTGGACGACGTTATGGACTTTCTTGTGACATGCACTTCGCTCGAATCGGTGATGCTCGGGAGCTGGACTCTTCCCGCAATTACCAAGATTGGCGCCTGCCCATGTCTCTCCAGCATCACGCTGCACGAAGTTCAATTTGATCACACGCAGAGTGTGCCGACGATCATTCAGTGGCTCTCGTCGTCGCGCCATCTTACGTCGGTGGACTTTACTTATACGAAGCTCGGGAAGGAAGGTGTCTTGGCCCTGGCGCGTGCGTTGCCTGTCTGGATGGCGCGTGGGCTTAAGATGCTGACGCTGTATGGCACAGAACTGACGGACGATGACGTTGTCGTGCTTACACTGACGTCAACGTCTTTGCTACTGGCGACGCTGGGGGCATGCCACAACGTCACGCTGCGTTTGGGCCACCGCTTTGGAAAATTCGACCCACAACATTGGTGTCACAAGGCAGCCAATGAAGATCGAATCCAGGACCTCGTGGACGTGCACGGACTGCAGTCGACTGAGCCAGGCGTGTACACATCCCCCACGCGCGCGTCGTCGCCATGGCAAACACTCTAATTCATGTAATTGACCACTCGAATTTCCACTTGAAGCTCGTAAATAAGAACCTAGCCCAGCCCTAGCCCTAGCAATCGCACGGACGTTCGATGTGATCCCGATCGACACTATGACGCCACCAGCAGACACTCTAGAAGGAAGACACCTATGCCTACGATACATATACCTATGCAAATGTGTTGTGTCTCTCCAATGAATCTTCTACTTTTTCTGGGATGTCGATTTCCTGGACCGCAAACCACAAACCACGCCATTCAAAAGTTTTCACACCGTGCGGATCGGGCTGCCACCCTTCTAGTAATGGTCGACTCTCCGTATTTACCAGCGGAGGTAGACTTAGGGTCGTCTTTTATAGTCAAGTGCTGTTGTATTCGATGTTAAATACGTTGTAAATCACATGTACGACTGGAGACGCGCCTTGTGATCATTAAACCACGCTTGCGCCATCGCTTCACTCGTAAACTTGTCGCGATCAAAGAGGACTGCAATCAACTGCTCGTCGTGCGTGTCGTCGCGCCGGCCCATCTGCAAGCACACGCCGTCGACGCGCGCGTACTTGTCTTTTTTGCGGTAAATGGACGTTAAATCAAACAGTGCCGGGTCCTGGAGCTGAAACCGGCCTTTGACGTCGCTCGACAATGCGTCAAACTGCGACACGCGGACGTCGACATCGCCTTTGGGCGCGTCTTTGGCGACGACGACGACGGACGGCGTGAGTGTCGTCTTGTTGATCGTGTCGAGGGCGGCCG